ACCAAATAAAGTTACACCCCCGATACACTTTTCTTTTTGTAGAGAAATGTTTAATCTACTTAATCATCTAGTTGCCATTTTAGATTAGTTTGCAGCTTTATTGCAATAACTTTTCGAAAAAGAGCAAAAAATGGAGGCCGTTAGCTGGACTAGCCGTACACTGTAACCATGAATTAATTTCCAGTTTATAGAAAATCGACCGAATCACCATGAATTTCCATAAATTCGATTTTCTAAAAAGGTGGAGAATCTCTGAGGATTTTCTATAAACTGGAAAATCGCCGCGAATTTTCGAGTTTATAGAAAATCAATCGAATTTCGATAAATAATTTCCAAGAATCTGAAAATTCGATTTTGATTTCTATAAACTAGTATAAAGTGGAAATTCGCCCAGGAATTTCTAGACCAAATACTTATTCATCTTTTTGTTTTGCAATCAGTGTAGGTATAAGAGACACCCATATTATACTTAAATCAACTTTGACAGTTTCTACTTTAGATCACATGACTGCCTATGCCAGCAAGAATTTTGATTTAGGCAGAGACAGTGGTGGCGCGTAGTTTCTGTAGGAAGGTCCGAAAATCGGAGACGTTCACCAGAAATTTCTGAAAAGCATGAGCGGGGTCAACCCCCATACAACCTGGTCGCACCGCCACTCGGTGTAGACTCGCCAAGGAATTTCCAGTTTATAGAAAATCAAAAAGGAATTTAGACTTTCTTGAAAAATATTTATGGATAGAAATTTAATGACAATTTTCTATAAACTGAAAAATCCTCGAGGAATTTCCATAGGTACTCTTTGAAATTCACCGAGCATTTTCCATAAATAGTTTCCAACCTTACAGTGTAGGTGCTGCTTTTAATAAATCTGCCCATGAGGTTTTTTCGTTGCGTTAATAACGCGTTAAAGTCCGTTTTTTAAGTGGACGATAAAGTGCGTTATTAGCACACTTTTCTTATTACAAAAAATTTTGAGGCGATGTAACGGATTAAATAATGTATCGCGTTGTTCTGTTCTTGAAAAAAAATTGTATTATAACGAGATAAAGATCAGAATGTCTTACAACCCACTATAAATATACTATGTTACAACACCCTTCGTAACCTTCTTTCGATAGTTTAATTTCTTTTTAACTAGATTCATCATGTTTTACTCAGTATTTTCTACGAGAACATGAAGCAATCAGAGCTTTTCGCCTAGAGCACCTTCTTCAAAGTACACAGCAATTTATTTCTGTGTTTTGAGCTTTGAACTCCATTTCATTTTAGTGTCACAAAGTTAAACTGTTATTAATTTGTTTGTCTAAAGTGTGATATTGTCTTTGCCAGTGAAAAGTATCTCAGATGTATTTCTTTAGGTTCTTCGTTCGTGTATTTTTCAGTTCTGATCCGAAACATTACTGTCATTTGATCTCAGAATAGAAGTGAGAGGAGTTGTGTTTGCGTTTCACCTGTGAGTTTTGCCAATAAGATAACATTTTTCGTATGTAAAGAAAACATTCACGCTCGGACTTGCAGTGAATGTGTGTCTGTAGATACTTGACACTCGGATCAGTTCGTTGCCAGAGCCAGCCTAGCATCTTGTGATTGAGGTGCTCTGGCTGTGCCGCTATTCTCTGTGCGTCAAACAGGATCGAAATGATCATTGCTACATTCTGAAAGACTCAAACGGCAAAGCAATCTTACACTGAGAAAACTCATATGATGACTCAACCTTTGTGTCCATTACTCACACTGTTGTGAGTAATGGACATTTTCATTCTGAGATCTCTGCATAGACACCATATTCAACTAAACAAATCAGTCTTCGCATTTTGGCGCGAACAGTGGTGCCATTTTAAACGCGCTACTGTTCGTGCCAAAATGCGAAAACTGATTTGAATAAAGAGATACTTTGCTCCCCGTACATTCATTCAATAAGCTATTCAGAAAAAAATTTGGATCGATTCTGTTCAGCGTATGTATAATAAGTCGATTTTACTATAATGAACCTATGTACTAAAAATCGCATAAAAATGGGTAATTAATAATGAAAAATCATTAATCGTGCGCTTAATCGCAATTAATTGCCGATTTTTTGGTGATTTTAGCAATTAATCGCAATTGATTGACGAGTTTTTTCTTGGTAATAACTTCGAATCCATCATTTTTTTCTGTTTTTTCATTGTTTATTATGTATAATGACATGTACGTCATTCAGCAAGGGTCTTAGTACCGTCTGAAGTCCGAGTCTTTCCGACGAGTCGATTTTAGACATTCCCTGGATACCAGCTGCTCACTGGGCTCCTCGACTTAAAGCTCTGAGGGATCGTAGAGAAGACTTGACAACTCCGTTTTACTGTAAAATAAAAAGATGTCTAAATAGACGTATATTTCTCGTTGAAATCGCGTTTCTTATATACATACTTTACTGCAAAATAAAATGGTGAATAACAATAACCATTTAATCGCTTAAAATCAACAATTAATCGGAATTAATTGCCGATTTTTAAAGAAAAGAAAAATCATCGGAATCGCCAATTAATCTGCAATTTTTCAAGAATCGCGATTAATTGTTAAAAATACCGCGATTTCGTCGACCTGGGAATACTCTCTTCCCAAGTCCACTGTCTCATCGCATGTTGCGGTAGAATCGCGCAACACGTTCGCTGTAAGACTCGCGAAATAAGACGCTATTTTTTCGCGCTCAAACAAAAATCAATGACTCTCAAATATTTTGCTATAGCTATATTTATTCGCGTTTGCCGTCTAATATCAGTAAATGAGCCACGCGGTGGCGGATCTGGCACTACGGCGGTCCGGCGACCGCTGCCCCCTCTCTCTCACGCTACTTTTACCGCAAACGCAGACGATTGGTGTACGCGCGACGCGACTACACAAGACTATATTAGTCATGCCGTAAGCTATTATCAAGATGTGATGAGATTTTGAAAATTTTTCGAAAAATCAGTAAGAGTTATATATCAGGCGCGTAAGCAAAACAAAACGGTGAATAGGGTTTGCACGGGAGACGCGCCATGACGCTGTATCATGTCCCGATCGTAAGTAGAGATGTGCTGGGTAACTGTTTGCGGAGCCCTTGCCCTATCCTGCGAAAAGTTTTTGAGCTCTCGCCCTACCCTAATCTGTAGCAATGAAGCCCTAGCCCTACCATATATTGATAAAAATTCAGTTTAAAATTTCGCAGCAACATAATGTCATCGATCGTTTCTTCGTTCAGCCTTTGTTGTTGATTTTTTTATATTGTCAATTGCACCAAAAATGGGTGTCTTGCATCCGATAAAATAACTGTCGCTAACGACCGACCTCAATGTTGTACACGATATATCTTTTTTAGACTAAGCCTTGGGTCTACCCTACCTGTGACTTTGAAGCCCTAGCCCTACCCTACCCTGTAGAGCAGGGTAAGGGCGCCCTGCACATCTCTGATCGTAAGAGGAATATATGATCGCGACGTGACAACTTTTTCTTACAGCGCTCGCGCTCGGATCGCGAAGTCGCACCGTGATCGCTAAAAAGTCGCTGTTTTCGCGTCGCGTTCGGGAATTACGAATTTTTTGTAAAATAAGAGTTGGTCGGGAACGTTGCGCGACAATAGCGATCGTGGCGTGAGTTGCGCGATTTTAGCGCGATCCGCATTCGCGCCGCGAATCAAGCAAGAAAGTGCATTTGGGTTTTGATTCCAAAATTGTCAAGAAGAAAATAGCACAACTGTGAGACAAAATAACTTTTCCTCTCTGAATGCTCTTCTTTTCTAGAAAATTGCTGTATACTTAGGAAGGAAGGAAAAACAGCTTTTTACGTTGAAACTTTTAGTTTCGCACGCTTCCAAAACCTGAAAAAATAGTTTTGCGTAGATTTTAGAGCATTACAACAAAATTAAATAAACTCTTTGCAGCTGCGTTAAAAAGTGAAATAACTAATTGAATTGTAGAAAGATCAAAATCTATTAGTAATGGGTAAAAAAACTGATCAAGAAGTTCAAGGTATGTTTTATGATTTTTTTTCTTCTCGCATCTTTTAAAAATAGTAGTTGCGTCTCCTATTTGTTGATACTTTGGCTGGCATTTAAAGCTGGATCTTATGATTTCTTCCGTTCTACAGCTTTCTCGAGAAGCTGAATCAAAAAATGTTAATTGCTAATTTTTAAATATACAAAAAACTAACGAATTTTCGTTACAAGTTGATTATAATATTCAAAATATAAGTGCATTTATTACACCGTCAGTCCGATCTCACGAGCGATATCTCGTTCGGAGTATACTCTATATCCCGAACGGGATATCACAGATTTATATCCTGATGGGGATATTTTTGCAAAATATTTTGAAAACAATCATTACCGCAAAAGTCCTGACGTTATTGCAGAAAAGTGAATATAGAAAAGAAAGTGGATGAAAAACTGAGTTGGAATCAAAGGTGCTCTAGTCTTGGTTTAAAGGTCTACCGTTGACGATTTTTCAATTCTAGTGGGGATATACAAAACAGTCTGATCGGGATATATATCATGTTCAGGCTATGGGACCGGACTGAACGTGTAATATCTTAGTTATCAAAAGACCGATTGATGAAAACTCAATTGAAATGATAACAAACTCAATCTAAGGAATTTGATTTTGAATATTTTGATAAATGTATTTTTCAACCAACAATTGATCAAAACAAGATCACTATGGCATTGGATTTTAAAAGTAATTTAAACTCGATACTTCACTGACCTTTTATTACATTTTTTTCGTTCATCTTCAAGGTCATTATAATATGAACGCACTAAAAGTTTGTGTTAAATTTACAAATACGACAAGTGTTATAATTGTACAGCTGAAACAATCATCATTATTATCTTCACCTTCTAAAACTGACGTAAACCAATATGTTTATAAACAAGTATGATTTTCAATCGAATTTGGCAGCCATTGAAAGTTTCCATTGCCTTTAAAATCTCAATCATTTTTAGAATTGCTCTTTGTTTTCTTATTATTCTCGAAAGCTCTAAACGCCGTCACGATAGGTATTGAAAAAGAGCAAGTTCTCCCACTGACCGAAACTTTTTGCATCTTTTAGGTTAAATTACCGTCAATAACAAACGTGAAGCAGATACAAGCTCAATTATATCATTCAAATATGTTAAAATTTGAAGTACCACTATATTCATAATTATGTTTGATTATTAGATACTTTATTTAAATAAAAATATTGATGTTGTTGTGGCGTTGAACTAATTGAAAATATAAATAATCGTAGAGGTATTATTTTTCACTGTTATTTGTTCCAAATTAATGGTTGTTGTCATTTTTGTTGAAATGTAACCATCAATATGTTTGTGATTAATTTTGGTTTTTCAATCACAACGTCTTGAACAATATCCCAACAGGCAAAATTTGGACGTATGTTCATACCAACTAAACTGAATATTCCATGAAAATAGTATTTGTTCTTCTCTTATATTAAGTCCAGGAAAAAAGTCGTTGAATATATATCTTATGTGTCAAATAAGAAAAACCAATCCAATGAAGCACACAACATGCATATAGGACGACATTTTTCTTAAACTCAAATAAGAGAACAAATTCTATTTTCATGCAATATCTGTGGATTATATCGATGAGGAAGATAGTTTTTAGTGCGGCGATGAGAAATTTTATTGTGTGTTGACAATAAACAATTACAAATTGGTAAACAGTTTATATATAATTAATTACATGCTAAATTTATACAAGTTGTGTCTAAAATGATGCCGCTGTGTCATACACTTTTATTTGGAAAACATAACAAATGAAGAAATTTCATATTTTCGTCGAAATATTTATTCAGCTTATGCTTAAGACCAGTATAAGCTTCCTCAATATCCTGACAAAGTAAATAGGGTCACATAAAGAGTATCTGTTTCAAGTTTTTATCCTAACGGGAAGCAACGTGTGCAGGAATTTATGTAAAATATCGAGTAACCAGGTATTTTCTTTGACTGTCGTTTTTATTTTATCCTCTTTGATTATACTATTCTTAATTCTAGTGCTTTTTTGTTATATGAGCACAGAACATCCATAGAGAACATTTTTTCTGTTTATCGAACCAAGTAAGAAAAAGATAAAATTATCGAATGTGCCCTGGTTGTAAGTTATTCCGTATTCTGTCAACTTCGTTCATTAAAACCAAAATAATTAGAGAGGACCCTTTTTACTTTTTGCACTAATCTGAAGTATACAAGTTGTACCATGTATTAATCTGTTTTTTAGAAACAGATCCCTTTTAGGTTTTAAGATATAGAGCTGTCAATATCTGAGATTAAAGGTAGTAAAACGTATAGGTTTCACTTTTCAATTTCAGTCGTTCCTTTAGAAAAAGCAAAGCTCAACATTGGCTCCTCTGAGTACCATGTTCAGAAAGGTGATCAAGAAAGTTCGGCTGATCATTCTAAATTCGTGAAGTTTTTAAAATTAAAGTGAAATCCATACATTTTACTACCTTTAATCTGTGATATTGACAATTCTATGTCTTTAAACCTGAAAGGGACCTGTTTCTAAAAAACAGATCAATATATAGTATAACTTGTATGCTTCAGATAAGTATAAAAAATGGAAAAGGGTCCTCTCTAATTATTTAAGTCGCGAAGTGGATAGAATAAGAATAAAATTATAGTCAGTACTACTTCTTTTGAACAAAATAAACGAACATGATCAATAAAAATATAAAATCTGCCTTTCCTTATGTTGTTCTTTAAAGAGAAATAATGTTCTATATACATATATACGAGTCATGCTGTACCACGCAATTAATAATACTGATTCTAAATATACAAAAATCTCAAGATACGCTTTTCTAAAAAATAAACCAAATTTTCATTTAATATTATTTTCATGTTTCATTTCCACTTTATTTTATTTTCTACATAAAATTAATGTGAATATTCACTGAATAACTAAAGTTTGAACACATTATGACTGATTATCATGACCCGAAGAGAAAGCCGGAAAATCTTGGTAGTAAAAAAGAACAGTTTATCTAGCTGCAGAATATAAAAGAAAAGAATATGATTTATTAAAAGTTTATCACCAATATTGAGAGCCACATATCTCAAAAACTAAAAGGGATCTTTTTCTAGAAAATACATGAGTATATAGTGTAACTTGTGTATTTCAAACTCGTATAAGAAATGGAAAGGGTCCTCTCTAGTTAATTTAATTTTAATTCATGAATAGCGGATGAGCACTGCTTCTTTTGGACATATAATCAATGAACATCTAGATTAAAATAGAAAATTTGTTCTTTTTTATAAAGAGAAATAAAGCTGTACATACGCGAGCACATAAGAAAAAAACATTGGACATAAGAAAAATAAGATCAAAGGAAGGAAAAGTGAACGCAGTATGTTTGATATCTACAGCTCAATATAGTGTGAGATACCGTGAAAATCTATAGTGGGCAATCCGGGTACAAAAAACGTCGAGACGCCGTACTCGTCGCACTCATCCCGAATATGTAAAAATCTCGAGACCCTCTTCTCTAGAAAAAAAACCATCAAATTTTGATATGCATGTAACTTTAGTTTAATGTATTGCAAATAATAGAATGACATGAGTAAGAAAAGCAAAAGTTTGTACTTTATTTTTATAGAGGGGTTAATTTTCATTGCGACATCATTTATTCAATTTTCAGAAGAAGACTAAACTCACTATGAATTTAGTCCATGCTCTGCCAACATCAGGAATTAAAATTAAAATAATTAAACAGTACCTATTTCCACTTTTTGTGCTATCTTGAAGTCTACGCTATGTATTGATCTATTTTTTCAGAAAAAGACACTTCTTAGGTTTTGAAATATTAGCCCAGATCGAAGCTCTACGGCCGTAAACTATAGTATACGTCGAAATACGACGAAATACATATCCATTCCAGATAAAATACGACGTCGTAATCCTTCTCCACGGTAGACGTCATCGTATTTCGTTGTAAACAACTCGTATTTTGACGTATACTACAGTATCCATCATCATAAACTGTAGTATACGGCCATTTACCGCTGTAGTAATCATTGTCCTGGGTAGTTAGAAATCATAATGGAGAAATTTTATGAAAAGTGGTGTCAAAATACGTATGCATATTTTTTATAAAGTTATTCGAAGTCAATCGCCTTGAAAGTACGTAAGTCACGTTATCTTTAATGCACAACTTCTTTCTACTGATTTGAAATGCGACGTTAATTGGTAAGCTTTAAATGATATTACATCAAGTTCTCATGCTATAATTAGTTGTGATCATCACATAATTAGTTTGATTCCTGCTTATAATGTAATTAATTATCTATTAAACGGTTACACTACACTATCCGATGTTTATCATATGGATAGAGAAAGTTTCCTACAAGAGAGGGATTGAAATCTGTGAGAAATTTTTCAGGCTTAAAGATTGAGTTGTAGTACGGTTAAAGAAATTTTTCTTTCCGATTCGATATGAAATACACAGAAATGAATCATGCGCGTAAACATTGAGATGGACTCTTATTAATGCTATCTTTTTGCCAATTTGCAATATCTCAAGATTTTTCGCTTTTATCATGTATTGTGTGAGTTTCAGTTTTGTTTCTCTCAATGCTGCGTCCCATTTTTCTCGAATAGTCATTATCTCAGAGTCATTTGGATCAATGTATGTCCGTAATCTAATATCTAACTGTTTTAATGCGGATGGGGGTGATTTGGCATTGCAACGAGTTTCTAATTTAGCTAGGTGCATGGCACGTTCATTTCGTCTTTCGTGCAAATCCAAAAGTATATGTAGATTTTCTGATTGTTCCTGGGTTTTAAACTCAATTTTCAATGAGTTACCAGAAACTGGTCAACTGAGACTTTCGTCACCTATACTTTCGTCAATGACCAAAGTTTTGTCTGACTCTCGTCAATAACCAAAGTTTTGTTTGACTTTCGGCAATTGACCAAAGTTTTGTGTAACTTTCGTCAACTGATTAAATGCCGCTTTACTTAGATCACTGATGAGGCTATAGCTGTACTTTTGTCGTGGCATACAGATCTTCAACAAAGTCGAAAAAGGTACTTTTTTCTGGCAAATTTCTCATCAGTGATCGAAGTAAGGCGAATTTTGGTCAATTGACAAAAGTCACATGAAAAGTCCCTGGCACTCTCCCGTGTATTTTGAGAGACACGGCCTTTTGATCCTCTTAATTTTATTTTTAAAAAACTTCTCCAAGCGTGGCATCTTTCATAGAAAAAAGCATGTTTTATCTCCTGCTTTTTCTTTCAGCACCCCTCTGCTGAACGATTAGTATGACTTGGCAGCATTTTTCTCAAACCTATTGTTTTTCTCATGGTTTTTTGCCACTTTGGATATTTTTAAACTCTCCGCTAGGCTTTTCAAATCTCTTCTCCAGCTATCGATTAAAGACTATTTCTTACGCCTTGCACCCTAGCTATGAACCTATGAGAATTAAAGATGTGCAACCCGACCCGTACGTTAGATATAGGCAGAAGAATACGGATATAGCAGTTACCAGTACGAGTTCCCGTTTTTTCTAATTTACCCGAAAACCAGAATGTTTTAGTTGGAAATCCAAGATTTCATTTATGACGTTTTAAGGTCCCCCTTCCATCAGAATGGTAATTTTCGGTTAAAAAATCAGTTTTGAGATACGCATGTGGAAAGATAGCTTGAAGTGGCTAATTTCAGAATTCGTATCGCTTTTGGTTACAAAAGTGGTTTTTCGCGGATTTTGAGCAAGTTTTCTAGAAGCCTCGAAAAACCGGATCTTCAAATAATAGTTTTTTCCTGGTTACTTATGCAATTAAAATTTTTCTAAACATACAGATTTGTAGAGAAAACTTTTCTGATCAAAATAAGACCTCGGACGACTCTGTATGACCTTGCAGCAAAAAGTTACAGGCATTTTCCTAGAGATTCGGAAGGATTTTTCCGGTTTTGGAATTTGTTGGTTGCCTGGATAACCAACAAAGGCTTAATTGAAAAATCCGCGCATGTAGTTAGGTGTCTGGTTTAAAATAAAACAAATCCGAATTATTCAGCTTGAAGTATATTAAAAAATCTTGGGAAATAGTTTAGGGTCCTTTTTGGACCTTGATCTCTAAAAAACTCCTAAACGGTAAGACCTGGAGACAAAAAAGCTTTTTCATTTCTGTAACTCATTGAAC